TGTGGGTCTCCCATCATGCCTTGGGTGAGAATCCTGGTTCTGGCCTTGTGGGTCTCCCATCATGCCCCGGGTAAGGACTCTGGTCCTGGCCTTGTGGGCCTCCCATCATGCCCTGGGTGAGGACCCTGGTCCTGGCTGTGTGGGTCTCCCATCACGCCCTGGGTGAGAACCCTGCTCTTGTCCTTGTGGGTTTCCCATCATGTCCTGGGTGAGGACCCTGCCACTAACCCTCATGGATGCCTGTCCTGACTTGTGCTCCTTGAACCCCTCTAACCCACTGTCGCCCTTCTTCCCTGTGCTAGCCAATGAGGACCCCTGCTGGAAGGTACGTGTCCCCTCCATCTTCACACCCGGTGGGTGGTGCATGTTTTCAGTAAAGGGGCTGCCCTTGTGGTCCAGGTGGATCGCGCCTGGCAAGGTTTGGGGTCAGGTGCCCGAGCGTTCTGGAGTCGAGCCGAGGGCCTCTGGGCTCCGTCCTCAGTCCCAGAATGTTCCAGAACACCCAGTGCACGTTGCAGCCTGCCGGGCGGCAGGGCTCAGCTCAGGGCTCAGACAGGGGCCTCTGCCCAGCGCTGGGGACACAGTGGCCGCAGTAGCCATGCAGGCTCAAGTGGAAACACCAGCGCTGAGTGACCTTGCAGAGCTGGTTCTCCTTACCACCTCCCTTCAAGGGCTGGATCCGTGACCCTGGGTCTCCCCTGCACACCCCCTTTTCTGTGCGTATGAGACCTGTGCACACAGCACATCTTTGCTTCCCAGGACACTAGCTGGTAATGACCTCACTCCTAGACACGGCCTTGGTGTTGGGTTTCTCTTTACTGAGTCTCTGGTCTCAGAAAAAAACATGCCAGCCCTGGAGGCCTGGACTGGTTAAGTCACTAAGAAGCACAGGTATTGGGTCCAGCCAGCCTCAGGCTGATCACATGTTTAGGTGACTCAGGGAGGTGTGGCATGGGGACGGGGACGCCTCGAGTCTGAGCTCCATCCTGGCCCCCCTCCCCAGCTCGCGGTGTGACCTCAGCAAGTGTCCAGCCCTCCCTGGGCCCTGAAGCAAGGGGGGTGGACAGGGCCCCGAGCCCTCATCTGTCTGCCATTCCTCCTTCAGGGACAGCCCCGGACAGCCCTTTTGAACCCGTGGCCTGGTGGCCTGGGTCATCCCAGATGAGATCGGCCTGATCTCTTCCACCTCTGCCATCCCACGACCTTAGAGCTGCCGACGGGATGGAGAACCAACCAGCTTAGAATGTGGGGTGGTGGGCAGTGGTCCCTTTTGGCAGGTTATGGGGATGTGGGCTTAGAAAAGCTCCTCCTCACTCAGAGCTGTCAGGGGTTCAGGCCACTGGTGAGGTAGTGAGCTCCCTGTCACTGGAGTATGTAAGCAGAGTCTGACCAGGCAGACAGTGAACACTCTGTGGAAGGGGCATCTGAAGCCCCCTCATCCTGAGGAAAGGCAGGAGCTGTCCCGTTAGTGGAAGGCGCTCTGCTGCTGTCTGGCACCGCACCTCTGGCCTGCTGAGCCCTCCCCCAGCCCCCGGGCTGGCATTATGACCCACGTCCCGTGTGGCAGATGTGGAAATGAAGAAGTGAAGTCACTCACCAGGTTGCTGGAGATGCCGGGTGTGAGTGAGGTGTTGTGAAGAGGATTTAGGGGTGCTGACTAGAGCACTGGGGGTACCCTTTGCTCCCTGAGGCCGGGCACACATGGGGACTGTGGCGGGAAGCTCGGTGACCTTGGCCTGGGTCCTCAGGTTCAGTGGATGGACACCAAGGGGGACCGTCTCCCGGGTTGCCACGTGTCCAGCCACCCCAGGCGGGAGGGTTCTGTGTGTTACACACCTTGTCAGCCACACCTTGCCTAGGAGCAGAATGGCCGGGCCAGCCATGCCTGACTTGGGCGTGCCACCCACTGATAACTGGCCCAGAGGCCCTAGAATCTGAGGCGCCTGGCGTCCCCCTAATAAAAGCCAGCCTGTCCCCACACCATTGCCTTGAGGGGCTAACCCCCCTCTCTGCCTGCCTGCTGAGGACAGCTGGCATAAAAGCTGGCGCCCCGGTGACCAGCGCCCCTTTCTTTCAGGGTGAAGCCACCCATGATGAGCACTGTGCCGTCTGCAGACGTGGCGCCAATCTGCAGCCCTGCAGCACCTGCCCTGGGGCCTACCACCTCAGCTGCCTGGACCCGCCCCTCAAGACGGCACCCAAGGGCATGTGGGTGTGTCCCCGGTGTCAGCAGAAGGTGTGGAGGCGAGGGGGTGGGGTGCATGGGTGCTCCCGCCCTGGGGCAGAAACGGGAGGGGCTGCAAAAGAGGAGTTGGGGTGTCAGAGGCTTCCGGCCGCAGCCCAGTTGGCATTTGGGGGTTGGGTCATTCATCGTGGTGACCTGGGCTCTGAGGGTATTGAGATCCAGCCCGTATCCACCCCCAAGTAGTAGCACCCCATGTCGTGACGATCTCAGACACTGCTGCCTGAGAACCACTGGCTTAGAGGAGTGGGCGCGGGGGCCCTCTGCCAGCACATGACTTGGTACAAGTCACACAGCCTCTGAGCCCCAGACTCCCCCGTGGTAGGACCGGACCAACAATGTGAACTGGAAACAGTGCCGGCTCACACGCTCAGTGTCACACACTCAGCAACACACGCATGACAACCTCTCACAGCAAAAACCAGTAACACTCCCTTCTGGTGATGACGGTGTAGGCACTCCTACACCCGGCGGTGTTTCACAATGTGTACATCTGCTAAGCTGTGGTATTTTCAGTAGCCTGATAGGCGCGTGAAAGCGGGGCAGTGAATCAGGAAGACCCCAGAAGACTCTGATGCTTTTGAGTTGTGCTGTTGGTGAAGAGTGTCGAATGTAGCGTGGACCAGAAGAACGAATCTGTCCTAGAGTAGGCCGGCCAGGACGCGCCGTGGAAGCGAGGCTGGCCAGACTTCGTCTCAGCTACTTTGGTCAGGTTGTCAGAGGGACCTTCCCCAGAGAAGGATGTCATGCTTGCTAAGTGGGGGGCCAGCGGAAAAGGGGAAGCCCTCAGTGAGATGGACGGACCCAGTGGCTCAAGCATGGCAAGGACCGTGGGCTGGAGCAGGACCAGGCAGTGTTTTGTTCTGTACGTGGTCTCGCTGTGAGTCGGAGAGGACTCGCTGGCACCGAACGACAACAGCAACCCTTCAAACCCAGCATCCTGCTTCAGGGGACCAGCCCAGTCTGAGAACAGGTGAAGGTTATGCACGACGTCCCTCACCTGTTACTCATAAAGGAAAGGACGGCGGCGGCAGTAGGAGGTGGGCGCCGAGTCCGAGCGTGCCCTCTGCACTGAGGTGCGTGTGTGGCCGTTAGAGGTGGTTTTTCACAGAGAGTTAAAAATTGCTGGGGAACTCGTTCACTCTCTGGCAGGAAGTTTTAGAACAGTTTTACAAAAGGCTCTACCACCGTCTAGTTTGGGAATCCCGTGATCCTGTGCAGAAGGAAAACCGGAGGGAAGTGCTTCAGTGGGGTGGCGCCGGGTGTTGGCAGCGACGCGTTAGTAACAGTCTGCTTTGCGGAGGCAACGGGATGTGGATAATCGAAGGGGGGCACCTTTCTTTCAGGAAACATTAGCCGTGTGAGTCCCCATCATTCAGGGTTTCATGAAACAAGGGAGGCAGTGGGCGCGGTGGGCTGTGCTGCTGTGGGTTATACCCTGGGTGGGCCACCAGCCCCTGCGCTGTGACTGCCCGGAGGCCACAGCCGTTTGAGGGGTGCAGAGAGAACGAGATTCTGGGGGACAGTGGGGTCCCCCAGTTGTCCCTCGCTTGCTGACTTAGTCCCCTCTGTTGTAGCGTGCCATCGAGTCGCAACAGCGGTACCATTAGGGGGGAGCTGTAACGAACAGAAACTTATTTCGCACAGTGTGTTGTTAGTGCTGTCACGTTGGTCCCCCCGCCCAGCAGAACGTCCCGCGCCAGCCCCGCGCCAGCCGCACAGTCGCAGCCACTGTGTCGGATCCGTCCCAGAGGGCCTTCCTCGTTTTTGCTGCCCCTCCGCTTTACCGAGCATGACGTTCCTTCCCCAGGGCCTGGAGGCTAGGAGGCTAGGAGGCTAGGAGGCTGGTCGGGGTGCTGGCTCTGGGGGGGACGCTCCTTGTCCCAGCTTCTGCAGGGTTCTGGTTTTTCCCGACGACTGCCCGCTGGTGGTGCAGGAAAACAAAGTCCTCAGCGCGTTGCAATGAGCCAGTGATCACAGCAGGGTGAAGCAGGAAAGCAGAAGGTTTATCGAGTGTCGAGACCCGAGGAGACGAGAGAACCCGTTCTCTGAAACGCCCGTCTCCCCGAGCAAAGGGGGAAGCATCATGACACAGGGAGGTGGGAGGGGGCCGGAAGATTCCAGGGACACCCAGGAACGGCTTGTTCTTCTCTTCCTGGTGGCTCCGTTCTCAGCGTCCCTCTTCCCAGGGTCGTCTTGCTTCACAGGTTACGGTTCTCGGCCGAAACCAGTCATGGGAGGGGGTTATGCTGAGAAGAATGTGTGATTGACAATAATACACCTAAGGAACTCAGCCTCTGTACAGGCTGCCTATCCTGTTTATTTACAAGAAAGCAAAAGGAAGGGGAAAATAGCAAGTCAGTCACCATGATGAATGTCAACTTAAGCTTAACAGCCTGCCAGTCTGTTAAGGGAGCTCTGGTGGCACAGTGCCTAAGGCATTTGACTGCTAACCAGAAGGCTGGCGGTTCAAACCCACCAGCCACTCCTTGGAAGGAAGATGGGGCAATCTACTTCTATAGAGATACCGCCTCGGAAACCCAAGGAGGGGTCGCTATGAGTCGGGTCCCACTCGACGGCAGTGAGTTGGGTTTTGAGTCCGTTGAAGTTCTGTAATTTTCAGAGAGGGGCCCCTTCGGCCTTCCACGTCAGCCGTCCACAGAGACACGTCTCCTCCCCACGCCCCTGCCTGCTTTTGGAGCCTGATCTGTTCTTTCTGTCACAGAGCTGATTGTCTTAAGACACACTCTGCACTGACACGACCTCATAACAGGACAGAGACAGACAAACTTCCGTTCCCAGATGGGATCACATGCACAGATCCAGGGGTTAGGGTTTACAACACATATTACAGCACAGTTCAGGCCGTAACACTCACCTGGGACAGCTGACTGGCCCCTGGACACGAAGATGACAGGGACCTTTCATCCACTCACCGATCCAGCCATTCAGGAAGTCTGTGCTGCTCCATGCCTGATCCTGTTTGGGGGCCTGGCGATAAGCGGGGTGTGAGGTCCAGAAGTTCCTGGCTCTCAGCCTCTCAGACCATCAGACAGGTGGCCGCCACTCCCAGTGACATTTGCAGCTCAGAGAGGTCAGGACCCCCAGGGTCACGGCCAGGACGTGGCAGGTCCCAACCAGTCCACACACTTTCCATCCGTCCCCAGGCCTTAAAGAAGGACGACAGCGTGCCCTGGACTGGTGTGCTGGCCATTGTGCACTCATACGTCACCCACAAGACAGGTACGGAAGGCGTCCTTGGGGTGGTGTGGGCACAGGTCTGGGCTGATCCAGGCCGGAGTGTGTGGGGCCAGTCCTGCCGCGGGAGGCCACTTCCAGGCCCAGGCTTCCTGCGGGGAGGTGGTCTGGCCAGTCCTGCCACAGGAGGCCACTTCTAGGCCCAGGCTTAACTGTGGGGAGGTGGGCAGGCCAGTCCTGCTGCGGGAGGCCACTTCCAGGCCCAGGCTTCCTGCGGGGAGGTGGTCTGGCCAGTCCTGCCACGGGAGGCCACTTCTAGGCCCGGGCTTAACTGTGGGGAGGTGGGCAGGCCAGTCCTGCCACGGGAGGCCACTTCCAGGCCCAGGCTTCCTGCGGGGAGGTGGGCAGGCCAGTCCTGCCACGGGAGGCCACTTCCAGGCCCAGACTTCCTACGGGGCGGTGGTCTGGCCAGCCCGTAGGCACGGGCCTTGGGTTCTGTCCCTCCTGCCGCGCCTGCCCCGTCACGGCCTGCCCGCCGGCCCTCCTAGAGGTGGCTTCTCTCCACAGTCAAAGAAGAGGAGAAGCAGAAACTGCTGCACCGAGGTAGCCAGCTGCACAGTGAGCACCAGCAGCTGGAGGAGAGGGACCGGCGCCTGGCCTTGGCCATGAAGGTGTGCAGGGTGGGCACTGCCTTACACTGCTGGGTGGAGGCCCAGAGCCTCCTGTCCCATCACTGAGGCCCAGGGAAGAGGACAGACTCACCAAGGATCACTTGGCAAGTCAGTAGGTGGGGAATGCAGCCCTGGGACCCACTCAGAAAATACCAGTCAAACGAGGGAGGGCATCCCAGCTCGGCTCCTTTGCTGTTCTGTGACCTTAGTGAGGATTTGACCTTCTCTGAGCCTTACTTTGCTCTTGTGTAAAATGGACGTAACTCCTCCTCCTTAGGGTGATGGTGAACACGATGATGATGGTGAGAGTGGTGATGGTGGTGATGATGGTGGGGGTGGGTGGGGTGGGGTGGGAGTGGTGGTGATGGTGATGGGAGTGGTGATGAGGATGGTGGGTATGGTTATAGTGATGGTGGTGGGTGTGGTGATGGTGGGTATGGTGGTGATGGTAGGGGTGATGGTAATGATGGGTGTGGTGGTGGTGGTGGATGTGATGATGGTGGTGGGTGTGATGATGGTAGGTGTGGTAATGATGGGTGTGATGATGGTGGTGGCTGTGGTGATGGTGGTGGGTGTGGTAATGATGGGTGTGATGGTGTTGGGTGTGGTGATGGTGGTGGGTGTGGTGATGGTGGTGGGTGATGGTAATGATGGGTGTGGTGATGGTGGTGGGTGTGATGGTGGGTGTGGTGATGGTGGTGGGTGTGGTGATGGTGGTGGGTGTGGTAATGATGGGTGTGGTGATGGTG